AAAAAACGGAAAACAGTACACACAAACAATCAGCAAAACAAACATTCACTCAAACAAACAACACATGCCTGCAGTGAACAATGCACACCTTTTACAATTGTGGCATGTTACATGTTACATTCCATTGCTCCATGGCTTTTGTAAATCTACTTTAAACAATCACTATATGTTCAATGTCACAATGTGTGATTTGTTTTTGTGTTGGTGGGCTGCCAAAGTCCAAATCCCAGGAACTATAATGATTTATTATCAGTGTGGATGGAGAAAAGGGAGAAAACAATACTAAGTATCATGTGTCTTCATTGTGGAGGGAGAAAAGGGTGAAAAGGAAGAACGTAATATAACCGCCGTTTAAGCAATATAATCTTTTTCAGAACCCAATCACTATGAGTTGGCTAAACTTTTGTTATTTCTCTCTTTTTCATTGCTTTATAAGTGCTGGTTGTGAATTACACTATGCCTATCGTACATCCCCCATGATTTGGTAGATCTACTCATTTATAGGCTACTGGCAATTTGCTATAGGCCATTATTAACAGACCATGCCATGACCAAATTTAAGCACACAAAACACAAAGGTTGGACAAACCCATTGTATAAACCCCTTACCCTCTAAAAGTCCATCGTATTTGCGCACACCCTCCGACAAGACCCATTTTATAAACCCCTGACCCTGCCAAGGCCCTCGTATTTGCGCACGCCCTCCACAACAACCCATGTTATAAACCTCTCACCTTGTCAAAAGTCCCTCGTATTTGTGCACACCCTACCACAAAAACTCATTTTATAAACCCCTCACCCCCATCGTATTTGCGCACACCCTCCCACAAAACCCATCATGTTATAGACCCCTCACCCTGCCAAGGCCAATCGTATTTGTGCACACCCTTCCACAAAAGGACGAGGCTGAATGGCGAGGAGTGGGCGCGGCTAGTTATCCGATAAACAGTGAGAAAGCACCCCCTAATACAAATAATATGTAAACTCTTTCATAAGCTCCTTTTCATATTTATGCACCTAAAGGCTTTGCAAGCAGCAAGCAAATGATGCAGGATGCCCTGGACATGCACATACTTTTTCACTCTTATATACGTTGCCTATTCTTCAGACCGAAATTGAATGATACAGAACATGAAAAGATGTGAACGCGCAAGTGCGCAGAAGGTTTCAACCTAGGACAGGAGAGGGAGGGAGTGACAGACGAAAAGTAAGCCTACAACCTAACTTTTATGCTTGTAATGCAACGGAGGACTCAACAAGGATCGCACACCCATGATATTGTTCAATTTTGGTCACAATAATCTCATGGGTGTATTCTGTCTGTATGTATGCTACTCTACTCTGCGCCATTCTACCTGGATAACTAGCCTAGTCTATCTTATCCTGCCATAGTCTTTGACACACTCATTTAAACTCGAGTTGCATCTTTACAATGGTTTCCAATAGTGGTTAGAGCCAAGATCAGATCTTTACACAGCCGACCAGAACTACCTTGTACTTTGTCAACCACAGACCAGGACTACTACAGTAATTATATAATTTATTTCATTATATTGTATTATACTATATTATATTATATTATATTATATATATTGTTATATACATATAGTTTATCAACCTGTGCTCGCTTCTGCTTTATCTTTTACCCTACCCTATGCCACTTCTCCTGTCTGTCACCAACCTTGCTCTACATTTATTTGGCATAGTGTATTGTCCGAGTCTTCTTCGCACAATCGTTTTTTTGGAATAGAATACAGTAAATAAAGTACAGCAGCTGGGACTGGGACGAAGCTGAATGGAGAGGAGCGGGCTAGTTATCCGATAAATAATAAGAAAGCACCCCCTAATATCCAGTAACCAATATGTAAACCCTTTCATAAGCTCCTTTTCGTATTTATGTACCTAAAGGTTTTGCAAGCAAATGATGCACTCTAACGCTCTGCAGGATGTCCTGGAAATGCGCGTACTTTTTCACTCTTATATACTCTGCCCATTTACCCTAACTACTTTGTCCACCCGAGACCAGGACTACTAATTACATATTACATACATCATATATATATATATGTAGTTGATCAACCTGTGTATCTTTTACCCTACCCTATACCACTTCTCTTGTTTGTATCCCACCAGGCTCTATGTTTATTTGGTAAGGTATATTATCCAAGTCTCATTGCATCTTTGGCACAATCGTTTTTTAGAATAGAGTAGAGTACGGCAGTTGGGACGAAGCTGAGGAGTGAGAGGTCGTTATATTATATGTAAAGGTCCCCCCCACATATATATATATATATTGTCAAACTCGCTAGTTTGTGTGCTGTCTCACTCGTCCCGCATGGTTCGAACGTCCGAAGGGCGGGAGGGAGGCGACAACAACAGGAAAAGGCGAGGCAGCCTTGTTGAGTAGGAACAGGGTTTCCTAAAGATCTTAAGGTAGAGATCTTGAGGTAGGGTTCCGCGGGTTCTTCCCATGAGCACTGAGCAGCAGTTTGACTCCTCCTTCTGGATCAGACAATTTGGAACCATCGAGGCTTTTGACCTGTGCCCATGCTGTCCCTTTCATCAAAAGTGCAAGTCTAGGTGCCAGCATGGGTTTGTCCTTTGGTGGACAGATTGAGTGCATTGAGAAGATTTCACCGATTGTTCTGGGTAAGGGCAGGAGAGACGACCCGTGACAGAGAATGGAAGAACATCCTTTCGAAGTTTGCTTGGGGCGCTCCAATATGCAGCAGTTCACAGCCGACCAGATCTCCCAGCGAAGATAGGTGAATTGCAGAGTGAGGTCACACAAGCTAGAGTAAAGCATTTGGTGTTAGGAAACAAGGTGCTAGCTGAGGCCAAGCAGAACCGTGTGTCGTTGGGGCTTTGCCTATCGAACCCAAACATGTGACCTATTGTGCCTTTTCAGATGCTTTGTTCTCATGTACAAAACACACCACAGCACAACAGGGGACCATCATTTTTGCGACCACTCCGGAGTTGTTAGAGAACCAAAGAGCAGTGGTTGCACCTGTAGCTTGGTACAGTAAGAAAATACCTCAGGTGGTGCGCAGTACTTTGGGAGCAGAAGCAGCGGCCCTGAGTAACTCAGCAGATCGACTGATGTGGATTCGGGTGTTATGGGCAACTTTGAACGATCCCAACTGTAATTGGAAGAATCCTGAGAAGTTACTTGCAGGGGGGAATTTGGGGGGCCTAGTAACGGATTGTAAGTCAGCGTATGATCTTTTGACACGAACGGCCATTCCCCAATGTTCAGAACACCGAACCACAATCGAGTGCCTGCTGATACGTGAACGACTCCGAGACAATGCAGTTGTTCGATGGATAAATTCCCAGGCGATGCTCGCAGATTGTTTGACCAAGACCATGGACAGCAGCGTGTTGCGTGAGTGTTTAAGAACTGGCCGATATGCTTTAAGGGATGAAGAACTTTTGTTGAAAGAAAGACTGTCTGCTCGAGAACGATTGAAATGGATGAAACAACACCGACAAAAGAAAGATGACAATGGCTTCGAAGATGCCATGTTGGTGAAACAGTCCGGCAATGTACAGCATGATTGCGATTTTTGGCGAAGGGGACGTGATGGAGAGGTGATCAGAGTGCATGTTGTCCCTAGATATCAATTGTATACACCTGTGGGGTCAGAAGATTGTTGTGTAGACCTGAGAAAACTCGAGGTGTACCGGGATACTTTTCTGAAAGGTCAGACAGGTGAGAGGGATTATTGGACGGGACAACGGCACATAAGAGAAAACCCTTTCCTTGGTGTGGTGAGACAGTATTTCGAATAAAAGAGAATTTCACGAGTGTCAAACTCGCTAGTTTGTGTGCTGTCTCACTCGTCCCGCATGGTTCGAACGTCCGAAGGGCGGGAGGGAGGCGACAACAACATTAAAAGGCGAGGCAGCCTTGTTGAGTAGGAACAGGGTTTCCTAAAGGTCTTAAGGTAGAGATCAACAATATCTATTTATATACGCATACATATATGTATACACATACATATCACTTTTTGCTTTGACATAGAAATCAATCAAACTTCTTGTGCCTAGTCTAGCTCCTTACCTTCTTTGAGCCAAACAAAACAACTTGACCAAGAAAAACGCCTTGTGAAGATTGAGGGAACAACTCAAGCAAGACAGATACAACCTACTGGAGCAATAGAAACAGATTTGAAGCAGGACACCAAAAGAAATAATTTCTTGCCTGGATAGAAGTTAACTGACGCTGTTGCAACTTGGTCTAGCTCATTCGCTTCTGTAATGCGTTTCTTTGTTTGTGTCTTAATGCTCTTAAAAAGGAAATGTAAAAATAGATAAAAACAAAAGAACCCTGATGAAGGTTGAAGCGGCTTCCTTATGGTGCTCAATTCGAAACGCATTATCGCATATAGGAAAAGACAAGAATGACGTACATACAGTAACCCTACTGAAGGAATTGAAAAGCCTTTTGAGACTGCGAGCAGCTTGCAGGCGTCCTACCAACCCTGAAAACTTGACTGCGCTCGGAAAGAAATATGTTGAACAAAGACTACAAAGTACCAAGAGTGTCTGATGTTCTGCAAAGGCCTATAGAGAATACCCAAAAAACAAACACAAAAAACTACCAAAAAAGACAAACTGCAAAAAACCACAACAATCAAACACAAAAAACACAGATTACAAAACAACAACGCAACAAATAACAAAAACACTGTTTGAGACAAAATGAGGATACTATAGGATTTTGTTTTGTTTGGTTTTGCATTCGTTTTGTCTCAAACATTTTTTCTATGTTTTTGGATGTTTTTGGTATTTTGTTTCCTTTGGGATTTTGGTATTGTGTTTGTTTGGAATTTTCTCTAAACCTTTGTCGGCCTGGTCTGAACAAATTGAAGGTTTTCGCCAAAAACCACTGTAACACCCAGCGTTTTTCATCATTTTTGCATAAGCAGCAACATTGGAACAACAAATAGTAGTTCAAAACCAAGGTTTTTGTGATGTTTCACGCCAACAACCACTGTAAAGCACGGTGTTTTTGATCACTTTTACTTTTTGTACAGCGACAATTACCAGGAGCACCCCACCCGGGCTTTTTAGTGGTGCAGTTTGCGTGTGTGCGTGTGAGGTGCCGTGACTCCGGCAGCTGTGGGTGCACCTGCTATTGCCTCAAGACTGGTTTGACTGTGTCACAAAAGCTGGTAAGTGCTTTGCATCTTTTTCATAACTGGATTTGATTCGTTGAGGTGACGATTTATCCAGCTTTACCAGGTCTGCCGGGCAAGTTTACGACTTTCTGGGAGGGGGCTCATTTTTTTGAAGAAGGGCGAGCATATCAGTGAAGATGTAGGAAGCACAGCACATCTTCCTTCAAAAAGCCTCAGTACATAGGACATAGGCTCTTTGTTTCTGCACTTTTGCATCAACAGGCTTTTGACTGCAAATATTGGCGCTCATTACAGAAAAGTGAGAATCACCAATTACTGCATATGCTCGAATGCTTCAAATGTTTTTGGGGCCAGGACAAATCGTTCAATAAGGGAGCGCATCGGCCACTTGATTTGTGGGCCTGCGCTTTGTATTGTAGATGGATCTATGCGCAACTTCATCCTACTTGTGCGCTTGTGTAAACAGGGAGACGCTTTAGAAGATGCCAATAAAAGAGAGCGTATACAAAGCAGAAGATTCACATGAAGAACCAAAGTTTGATACTACTTGAGGAAACTTTTATTTCAGAGAAAGTGATTAAAACTGGTCACTCTGTATATATATATGTATTCACGCCCCCGTGGGTTAAGATGTCGGTGTACCTTTTCCTTGGATCCGCAGTGTTTTCAGCTCATTCCATGGTCTGCCGCCTGTGCCAGTTCTTCGAAGGCGACGATCAAGGACTTTGCGCAGGTTGCCGTGCCCTTCGTCGAATCCGAGAGGTCCAGTGCGGTGGTGGCCTCTTGTTGCTGAGCCAGCAGAACAGAGCGGTCTCAGCTCTCCGAGAGTGCGCAGGCACTCTTTTGGATTTGGCCGAGGAGGCGATCCGCATTCGCAAGAAGGAGAAGGAAGAGGCAGCAGTTGAAGGAGAAGGTGCACCAGGACAGGCGGCAGGTGGCAGCGGGAGTGGGAGTGCTCCTGATACAGTGGGTGACGCGGCCAGTGGGTCCAGGCGAAGGAGGTCAAGGTCAAGGACGAGCTGGGCTTGGCAGACGACGGGAGCGAGGAGTCTCCTGGTGTGCTTGGCGTTGCAGCAGCTGAGGACGAGAAACCCCTTGAAGGAGAGCGTGAGGAGACGCACAAAGAAGAAGCAAAGGTGAAGAAGAGGAGAAAGAAGCATACAGGAACTTCGTCAAGGAGGACAGACAAAAAGAAGAGCAAGGAAAAGAAGAGGAAGGCATCACGTTCGGTGCCCAAGGAAGAAGAACAGATCATCGCAGAGGAACCGGAGGTGCTAGGACTTCGTCCTGCCCCCAAACCAGCTGTCGCCACAGGCATTTCGCACATCTCCCAACACCGCCACCGGCTCCAAGGAGGCCTCGATCATCCGATCATCCTCCTCCCAACCGGAACTCAGGCAGGGGAGAGCTCGTACGTCGGCGCGGACACCAAAGACGTTCGGGAAGTCCTCGTCAAGGTCAGCGGAAGCGAGGCAGCAAGGGAGTCAAGCATAGGGAACGCGGCAGGTTTTGGCCATACCGCCGTCCCTACTGATCTCAATGGCGCCAAAAGCCAAAAGCCAAGTTGAGAGCGAAAGCAAAAGCAAAGGCAGGGGTCGCAAGGCCCACATGAGGGTTGCAGCTATGAGGGTTGGAGTACTACGGAGGCCCGCTGTGAGAGCTCCGGTCGTGGCCGCTCTTGGGTTTCGAGAGCGATGGATGGCCGGGGAGGAATTGGAACTTCATCGGATTCCGCTGGACGAGATGCCAGTGGGAACCCTGATCGAGATCACGGAGGGCACCTACTTTGGAGCAGCTTGCAAGGCAGCAGGGACCGTGCAGGGGATCGATGTCAAACCCGAAGCAACCCACATCCTCCTGAAGCTCACCGGGACGACAGGAGAAGGCCTGCTGAATCTGAAGCACCAAACGGGTCACCCGGGGATGCTACTTCGGGTCCATCGTTGCATGGCCGAGTGCACGGCCGACAGGCGTGCCGACGACCTCCTGCATGGCCACAAGGCCAGGAAACCGGGAGTTGCGGGGGCCGAAGAGGGGTGGTTGAGAAATTTGGAGATTGCCCCCGTCGAGGACGAGCTTGCAGCGTTGAGGTTGCGAGGAGGCGAACTGGCTCCTGGTCATGTCGGGAGCCGAGAGGATGCAGGGAAAGAAGTTGCAGAGGTCGAGAAGGAAGGAGAAGGCACCCGGAAGAAGGACTCCCGCAAGAAGAAGAAGAAGAAGAAGAAGAAGAAAGGGAAGAGCCCACGGCGCAAGAAGAGGAAGCCAGAGGGCAGAGACAGCCCCTCACCAGGAGGGGCGAAAGGAGAGAAAGCGGCAGGCAGCAAGAAGAGGAAAAGGAGTTCGACCCCGAGCTCAAGCGGAAGCGCCGCTTTGGACGGAAGGAGGACGAGAGCGGCTTCTACGAAGACCTACGATGCCCTGCCGCCGGAACAGGGTTGGATCGAAAAGAGAAAGTACGCAAGCGAGTCCTGAAGAGGGCCAAGAGGGCCGCCAGGCGAAGGTCCAAGGAGAGATCCAAGAGCGGGAGCGACAGCTGCTCCTCGGAGGAGGACAGCCTTTCAGAGGAGGAACTGGAGGATGCCCTTTTCCAGGGGGAGTCGAAGATCCAAAGGGTCGGCCAGCGTTGCCCCGGCGCTTTAGCTTGCCACCACCATGAGGGCCAACCTGCTCCATGGGGCTACAAGGGAGTCGAATGGTGTGGAACCAGTGGCCATGCTCTACCTGCGGCAACATCTACATCGGCGTGCGAGCGGCCCCGCTTTACGAGAGCTGGTCACGCTGGCGATTGCGGTGGATCAGCTCCTACGAGCACGCCCATCAAGGGCCTTGGATACCCTTCTACAGAGGTTCAAGGCGGTGGAGGCCGGGCTGATGGGCGCCCACTGGTCGGTGGCTCAGCGTCTAAGAGGAATTGAGTTCAGCCCAAAAGGAAGCCTACACCGACGCGCGGACCAAGATGTTGGCAGGACTGCCCGACGGCCGGAGTCGTGCCTCAAAGGGACAGGGGAAGACCAAGGACAAGGACGACTTCAAGGACCGCAACAAGGGCTGTGGAAAAGGGGGTGCGAAGGACAGAGGCAAGCCGAACCAGAAGGAGGATCACCCTTCGAAGTAGGTCCTCCTGGGATCGGGAGGCAGACTATAAGCAAGGATGGATGCGTTGAGAGGTCATTGGAAGATGGCAGCAGCCTCCCTCCTGTTGCCGGGAGGGTCCCTACGAGCGTTGATGGAAGTGTTGAGATGCTGGCCGATTGCGGTGCTCCCACCTTGGTCGACCGATCGTTGGGAGCACTGGGTACAGATGGCATTTCAGCGGTTGATGGTGAGCCGGCGGCTGTGGTAAGTCAGCGTGCCGATGACATCCCTATGTCAGGGGTGGACTACAGTTTCCCGCCATTGCCTCCGCCTTTTGTCTGCGAAGAGGATACGGCGAAGGTGCCAGATCGTGAGGACGCTGGTGCAAAAAAGGAGTGTGCTGAGACCTCGGTTGACGGACGTTCGATCGCATGCATGGGGGGCTGGGTCGCCGAAAAGTTTTTGGAGGTTGTTCCACTTCGCAGCTCGTTCACGGCCGCTACAGATATTTTTCCTTTGCCCACCTCCTTTGACTTCTTTGGAACCCTTTGGCCCTCCAGGTCTAGAGATCAGATTGACTGGATGGTCTGTGTTGCACGCGCGTTGAATTCGTTTTGGGGTGGAGATATCCCCGGAAAGGCAGAGGCTTCAGAGACTCAGATCAAGGTGCTTAATGGACTTTTGGTTGAGGTAGAGAGGTTTTGCAATCTTGGGCTGGTCACGGTGGGCGTGGACTGGAGTGCCTTTTTTGCCGTAAGAAGTATTGACTACAAAGGAGAAGAGGTCAAGACAGCAAGGTGGATCAGATGGGAGAACATTGCGCCTGCACTGCCCAAGGAGATCGGTGCAGTGCTCTTAGAAGAGGTCTGCTCCCTGGGGTGCCGGGAGTATGTGGTGTCGTTTGATCGCTTCCTCAAACCCCCACACCTTTGGGGTAAGATCGAACGCCCAAAGGTCATGGTGGAAGAGAGTGCCTGGGGGGAACTCTGTGGGGCTGGTGAAGTCCGGGATCTGTGTTTTCCTTGAGAGGAGTGAGGTGTTCGATACCGGGAGTGGACCACTCCTGAACGGCCTCTTTGGGGTATCCAAGGAGGATTGGACGGCAGAGGGGACGGAAATCTGCCGCCTAATCATGAATCTCATCCCTTTGAATCAACTGTGCCAACCACTTACTGGAGACGTTGATACCCTGCCGTCATGGGGCATGATGAACCCCTACTTCCTCCAGCCCGATGAGAATCTTCTGATTTCTTCAGAAGATGTGAAGTGTTTCTTTTACACTATGCGGGTGCCAGAGTGCTGGGTCAAGTTCCTCGCCTTTAACAAGGTGGTCCCCGACTCAGTGCTGCCGGAGGAGTTGAAAGGTCGTGTCGTCTATCTCGCGTCGAGGGTATTGCCGATGGGTTTCCTCAACTCGGTGAGCATAGCGCAAAACGTCCACAGGAACCTGGTGCGATGGTCGTCCAATGACAAGGAGGGCACGAACCTAGAGTGGCAGGAGCTTCGCAAGGACAAGTCCTTCCCTGCCACACCCCATTGCTGGCGGGTCTATTTGGACAACTATGACCTCCTTGAGCGTGTTAGTGCTACCGGGATGGTGGAGTTGAAAGGCAAGTGGAATCTTGGCACTGCGGGGTGAGTATGAGCATTGGGAAGTGCCTCGCAATGAAAAGAAGTCGGTAGTAAGGTCCAGCTACTGCGAGTTGCAAGGAGCCACCGTTGATGGGGTCAAGGGGCTGGCCTATCCGAAGGAAGGAAAGCTCGGTAAATACTATAGTTTGGCCGTTCAACTGATCCAGCAAACGATGGTCACACAGCGGCAGGTCCAGGTCGTGTGCGGTGGACTTGTTTATTTTGCCATGTTTCGGAGGCCTTTGCTGGGAAGCTTGAACAGTGTCTGGCGATTTATCGAGTCGTTCAACTGCCCGGGGGCGCGGTACCGGCCCCTGCCCAGGGAGTGTCGCTTCGAGATCCTTCGCTTGGTGTGCTTGTTGCCTTCGGTGCGCATGAACTTTGGTGCGATGTTGACCCAATGGTGACGTGCTCGGATGCTTCCCTCACAGGGGGGGAGTGTGTCGGTCGGTCCGGTTAACCTCGGTGGGCGCCCTGGCAGTGCAGGGCAAGCTTCGTGGCGAGGAGCCAAGCCAGTCGGAGGCGTTCCAGGTGTTGGTAATTGGGCTTTTTGACGGTATTGGTGCTCTACGAGTGGCTATGGAGCTGCAGGGGGTAAGCGTGATTGGGTATGTGTCAGTGGAGAAGGAGGCATATGCCCCTAGGGTCGTGGAATCACCTTTTTCCGGGGTGGTCCACTATGTGGACGTGACCTGCATACATGAGGCGGAGGTGAAGGAGTGGAGCCTCCGCTTCTCACGGTGCAACTTGGTGGTGGTAGGTGCGGGGCCGCCGTGCCAGGGAGTCTCAGGACTCAACTCGGACCGCAAGGGCGCTTCGCGACGCAAGGTCTTCCCTCTTCACCCACGTGTCGCGCATCTCTCTCCTGGTCCGGGCCGCCTTTCCTTGGTGCCAGGTCCACACGTTGATGGAGTCTGTCAGCTCGATGGACGAGGCCGACAGGGACATCATGAGTGCCGACTTCGGTTGCCCTCCTGTGCATATAGATGCCGGGAGGATGACGTGGTGCCATCGCCCGAGGATGTACTGGACTACATGGGAGCTCAGCAGTGGCGTTGGAGCAACATCTACTGAGGCAGAGGGCGTTGGTGTGTGGACCTTGGAGGCCGAGCAGGAGCTTGTGGACTGCTTGGAGCCCGGCTGGTGTAAGGTGGACCCGTCCGACGTTCACTACATCCCGGCCATCGGCGGTGCCTGGCCGGAAGCCGGCTGGAATTCGTGAGTGTAGAGCTCATGAGCTGGCGCGCTGGGAGGCGGATTGGCACCGCTTCCCGCCATACCAATATATGGACCGACATTGTGTGCAGAACAGAAGAGGTGAAGTTCGTGTCCCATCCGTGAGTGAACGTGAAGTGGCGCTTGGATTCCCTTTACACTACACCTCCACCTGCTGGGGTAAGAGCGAGCGCAAGAAGGAGGGGTACCAGGACGCACGGTTGACCCTTCTTGGCAACTCATGGTCTGTCCCGGTTGTGGGATGGCTTTTAAGCCAGCTCCTTTCAAAGCTTGGTCAAGGTGCCCCGCTAACGCCCCAACAGGTTGTGAACGCGTGTCGGCCCGGTGGGCCCTCGTCACTTCAGGGTCGTCTGGTTCGGCTCCCGCTTGCGCGTGCTAAGGTTGGTGAAGGGTCGGCGCATGAGCTGGCATTCAAGTTGTGCAACCTGGTCAGCCTCAAGGGTGAGGACATCCTCCTGTCTACGCCTTCCACACAGCTTGTGAAGTTCCATCGCCTGCGTGCATCGGTCCCGGCCAAATTGTGGAAGTGGAAGGTAGTATCAGGGTGGAGGTGGACCCGTGGAAAAGAGCACATCAACAGTCTGGAATTGCGCGCCATCCTCAACGCAGTCCGTTGGCGTATTGAGCATTGTCAACAGCTTGGAAAGCGTCTCCTACACCTTACTGATTCTCTGGTTTGTTTACACGCCCTGACACGCGGCCGGACCAGTTCTCGGCGGCTCCGGGGGTCTATGGCTCGCATCAACGCTCTTGTGCTCTGTTCTGGCTCTCAGTTTGTTTGGGGATATGTGTCGACGGATTCGAACCCCGCTGACAAGCCTAGTCGGTGGGGGGGGCGTGTCCGAACGAAGTTTAGGCATGCCTAAAAGAATCCTGGAGGGCGGAACAGAGCGAGAGCGAGCAAAAATGCGACGGGGGCTTGGCACTTTGAAGCAATTAACGGTGCAGCCTTCGACCAGACGTCGGTATGATTTGGCTGTTGATGGGTTCTTGGCCTTTTTGAAGGCAGAAAACTTGGTGTTGCCTCATGAAAAACGCAAACTGGACCCACTAGTTTGCGATTACCTTGAGCATCTATGGTACACAGGAACGGGGCGAGGGCTCGCGTGCGATACATTAGCAGGTCTTCAGGATCTGCAGCCTGGCTTGCGCAACCAGCTGCCAGCCGCTTGGCGGCTGCTCCGCACTTGGCAACACAACGACATCCCCAGCCACTCACCACCCCTACCTGAACATGTTGTCCAAGCAATGGCCGGTTGGGCCTTTTTCAAGGGATGGCATAGCTTTGGGCTCTCATTGCTCACTGGATACTATTGCATGCTCAGGACTGGTGAAATACTAGGCCTCAGACCCAGTCATTTCGATTGTACCAATTCCTCCTTGCAAGCAGTGGTTTGTCTGGGTTACACCAAGGGTGGCAAAGTGTGGTATTGGGGCTCGAACCCATTGTCGCGTTGGTTAAAGCCTGGAAACGCACTGTGAGTGCTAGCGCCTCCTTAACTCCATCTCCGCCTAAGTGGCGCCAATTGTTTAACCAGGCGCTGGAAGGAATAGGCATCTCTGACCTCAAGTTTCGTCCTTACTCGTTACGACGAGGAGGGGCGACGTATTTCTTTCAAAAGCACCAAAATTTGGATAAAATCCTAATTCAAGGACGGTGGCATACTCAGAAGAGTGCCCGTATTTGGGTTGTCGGTTCTTGCTCAGATGAAGTTACCCCCCTCTGATCCTAAGTTGAAGCCTTTTCTCACTGTGTATAGATCCTTTTTGCTCCGCCCGAGCTTTCCCACACTTGAGCCTCCTGTCGGAAGGACAGGGGGACGTGGAAAGAGATTGAAATCTGCAACCAAGAGAGGAAAATCGTGTCATGAGTCCGTTCCTTTTTAATTTTTCCAACGACCAGTCAGAGAACTGCACCTACCGGAGGCTAGGAGGTGTGGCTCGCCAATGGTAGGGTAGTCGAGGGGGTGTGGCCGGGTGTGCTGGCTTCACTTCCCTAGAGGGGTCAAAGGGTCTGACTGGGTTGGTTATCCTGTTATGTTCATTTCTTGTATTTTTGACAATCATGCTGCGAAGTGGTCCAAAAAAGGGAAGCGTCGACATCTTTGTATTCACGCCCCCGTGGGTTAAGATGTCGGTGTACCTTTTCCTTGGATCCGCAGTGTTTTCAGCTCATTCCCCCTTCCTCACCCCCCCGGGAGCCTCTGGCTCCTGGAAAGAGACTGAAATCTGCAACCAAGAGAGGAAAATCGTGTCATGAGTCCGTTCCTTTTCAATTTTTCCAACGACCAGTCAGAGAACTGCACCTACCGGAGGCTAGGAGGTGTGGCTCGCCAATGGTAGGGTAGTCGAGGAAGTCCACGCACCCAGGGTGTGGCCGGGTGTGCTGGCTTCACTTCCCTAGAGGGGTCAAAGGGTCTGACTGGGTTGGTTATGTTCATTTCTTGTATTCTTGACAATCATGCTGCGAAGTGGTCCAAAAAAGGGAAGCGTCGACATCTTTATATATATATATACACAATGCAGCCACATCGACATTGAAGCACATTTGGTCGTGCAGCTTGCATTTTTGTTTGGCAGGGTGTCAACAACCTCCGCCCGTGACGGCCTAAATATGGATTTTCTGTCGGGATTGGTTTCTTTCTCTGCGACTGCAGGCCTTGACGGAGCCTACCACGCTAGGAAGCAAGCTTCTTCCCCAGACAATTCTTCTCCAAGTTTACATAAGCATAAATCCACTGGCTGAGTCCTTCAGTCCCAGCTTCGTGCGCATGGAGCTCATTCTTAACACAGATTTTAAAAAATTTGTTTTCACACCTTTTATGATCCTATAATCCTTTCATGTCCAGCAATCTGACCTAGGAGGTTCCGGGAACAACCACACCGAATAGTGTGGCATCGAACAAACCCTCAGGGTTTGGGGCTCGGAAATTCGGCATGAGAGGCTGCACAAGCTTTAGTTATCTTCAAATTTTAAGAGCGATGGCCTCCAACCTAAAAGCGATGATGGCCTCCAACCTAATAGCTTTGGTTAGGTTTAGCTTGATGCTCTACCAGAAATTGCTTTAGTTTGTACAATCGACCTTGCAACTTTCACAATTCCACTCCAGCAGCATTCATGCAAACGCTCAGGATTGCATCCACTGGTTTTTCATCCTACACTCCGGTTCCTGTACAGGCTGTGTTGGAGTTGAGTTGTTTCAACTAAAAGCCTCAGAAGCGTTTGAGCGCAGGTTGGAGGGCCAACCCGGCTGTTCTGGACTCAGATGACTCAGACCTCAACTTTGTGCCGAGAGAGAAAAAGGAGAATCTGGGCACGGAAGGCTTTTGGATAGAGATTCATGAGGTCACTTGGGCAGTGTTCAACAATGCCAAGGCACAGAGTTGAAAGGATATACTTGTGGTTAAGATGAATCAATGTGAATATTCCAATGCATAATGCAATGCATCTTGAGTGCACGTGTGTCGTTTGTCAATCTTAACTTCGCATAGCAAAATCAACTGCTCCGGTCTTTGTTCCGAGATCTAGCCAAAAAGTGACGGACTACAGTTTTGGCCCTTTTTGCAAGAAAGTCATGTTGAGGCTGTCCGTGTCAATGCCTACAGTGAAGGTCCTCAGTCTTCCTTTTCTGATTTCCCCAAGCGTAAGCCACTTGGCAAGCCTAAGCTGCTTCAAGGCGTCCTCCGCCACTCTACCTGGCTGGGGAACTCCGTCTGCGCCTGGCTGGGGAACTCCGGTGCTTTGGCTTAGACAATGCAGCTTGCAGAGCAGCCTGGGGTCTTCAGGATCGGTTGGATCGCTACCAAGCAGACACACCAGTCCTGTCGAGCTTTACTTGTAGCTCTCGGTGAGCTCTCGGAGCACTAAGGTGAAGCAAATCGAAGAACCAAAAGTGCCTCCGAGTTTAACTGCAGGCCGATGCTTGGCGTTCTCTTCGCTCTTCGCTTTGCTTTTCTTGTTCGTTTTCAAGGTCTTCCAGAACCGAACTCCATCGAGCGTCAGAAGAATGCTTATGCCCGCGGTTTGGAGGAGCAGTTGAGGCGAGACCGCCCTCACGACTTCTAAAGGCTTCTGACACTTCTGCCGTGCACAGGTCAGTGGGGGGGGTACCAATGTTGGTTATGTTGGGAGTGATTGCAATGAGAAGATGATTTCTGTTTTCATCGTGAAAGCTGACTGGTCACAATCATTTATCGGAGGCAAGCTAGCCGTTGAGCTACTTGGAGCAGCTCTTGAGCCATGATAACTTGGATAGGTTAAGGATTGTTAAGGGCTTTAAGGGTTTAGGGTTGAGAAGTTATATAGGCTTAACGGCCAAATCAAAGGGTTTGGAATTGCTTAAATGCGACCATCCTGAGCACCATCGGTTTGTGATGCTTGGTTGCCGCGGGGGCGCTGTGACCACATTGGTGGTGAGTTGCACTGGTCAGGTTGACAGTGCCTTGGAACCCAGCACGCACAATAATCTTGTTTGAGCAAGAATTCTTTTGTTGCACGAAGTCTTTAAAGAGAATACCCGCTTCAGACTAGTAAATACTAATGATATTATATATTCAACCAAAGCTCTGGCCAGTTGCACGGATGTTTGTTCTATTCTGAAGTTTGTGCCTTGCTTGCTCAGTCCAGCATCAAGACAGTTTGACAGAGTGTTTGCAAGTCAATGGATGTCTGGCAGAGACGTGTGCATCTGTCATAAAAGTCCGAGAGACGCTTGAGATCAAGACTATGCATGAGGCATGGCACTGACGTCCTTGCCCAACAGCTGAAGCAGCAGTCAGACTATTTGCTTGCAGCCAGTGGCTTAAAGCAAGAGAAAGACCGAGAGCCGGCCTATTTTGTGCAACTTGACATTCTCGTGCACCTGTTGGACAATTGTTCCCTGCACCGTGAGACTGATTCGCTGCATTCATTTTTCTGTTTGCTGGAAGCTTGCTCTCAGATGGGTGACCAGCGAAAACGCCAGTATGCATTGCAGGCGCTTCCATTCCGTTGTTTTGAGCGCATTTGGGAGAGTCAGATTGACTTCTGGGACCTCTGGGAGCAGGTTCTAAGTTTTTTGTTGTATTGGATGTAAAACATAAATCCTCCTCATTCCATTGACTACGTCAGCGTGAGTCGGCTCAACACACCAGTTCGCTCATTGCAGGTTGATCAAGAAATAAAGCAGAGAGTGCCAGACTTGGGAGTATATGAATGCTAAATCAAACAAGAAGCCGGTCTGAGGAGATGGAGCTGGCACAGCAACACAACGAGCTGGAGACTCAAAGAAATGACGAAGAACGACATTGTTTGCCTGCAAAGGCAACAGGCTTTCATCGTTTAGTTGAACACTTTGGTCTTTGTTAAGCCTTTTATGCACGTGACTTTAGGTGCTTTAAACTTAGTGCTTGGCACTGGAGGCAACTGCTGCTTCTTCAGCAAGCTGCTCAACAACAGAAGTCAGCCTTGGAGCACCAGGTGTGGCCTTTGCATTAAGATTTGAGATTATAGTTGTTATATTCTTTATTACTATGTTTATTCTGAATATAGTTATTTCCTTTTAACTAAGACCTTTTGACCTGCCTTCAGTCATTCTTTGTTTCTCAACAAAATTCAGGTTTTGAACATGTAGACTGTAGACCTTGAGAGGCAAATGCCTTGCTGTTGGAGTATAACCAAAAGAAAGCACAAGAGGAGTGCCTGGCAGTCCCTGGCAGTGCCTAGCTGCTCCACTTCAGGGCCTTTGCACATCGAACCTTTGCCATGTTGAGCACCGCAGGATCTTGCATATCAGCAATATCAATTTCAGAAGAAACAGTACGAGGCAGTCTCAGAGCGGAAAGAAGACGGCCTGGTGTGACATGAGTTGGAAGCCTCAAAATTGGTGGCGAGAGAATCTAGAGTAGGTCTCATGAAGTGCAGCTGTCAAGAGACATTTTTCTCTGTCTCGTCTCCTGAGAAGTGCAATTTCCGTGTCACTTCCAGCGCTCCGCTGCACCGGCTCGCAAGGGCCCTTGAGCGTGCAGAAACAGTGCGGGCATCGCCGCTTTCTTTTTGAGGAACACATCCTTCCTGGGGTGTGAACCCCCTGTTCTTTCCTTCTGGGGACTGAGTGAACCAGGCTCCCACTGATCCATTCAATTCATCTGAATTGTATTGGTAGCGATCCTTCGTAGATGCGCCGCCGATGGCTGACGGTGCAGACGACGCCGATGGACTCGGTGAGGACCTCGAGGAGCTTGATGACTTCCTGGAGGGCGCTGAAGAGGAGCTTCAGGAGGCTGAAGATGAAGAGCCGGAGCTCTTGCAAGAGCTTGAGGATGCAGAGGAGATATATTACCTCCTCGCACTCGGCACTGAGGGTGCCAGTCTGAACCGGGCGCGCTCAACACTGGGCAGGTCGGCTGGGCGTGAGTCTAGACGAGAACGAGAAGATGGCACCTTGAGCCCCACTAGCCAAGCGCAGAAGAAGCCTAGAGGGAATCTTCTGACAGCTTCCACCTGCGATGGTGATCGGAAGAAGGCTTGTTCATGCTCCAAGAAGCACGAGCACAAAGTAGACTCCTACGTGGCCATTGCCAAGCGCATCATCGACTCCGGCGAGATTGGTTTGAAGCGGCAGACTTCCGTGAGCGTGTCCCTGCTAAGGTGTTCGGGGCAGAAGATGGATGGCAGGTGCTCATCAAGATCCCGAGAGACAAGTGCGATGAGCCCACCATCATCAAGGTCGGTATGGCTACGCGGAACTTCTTCCAGCTCCACATTGCCACCGCGAAGATGCATCTGAGTACATGGACAGAGCCACGCCAATGTCGAGACGCTGGCCTCCACTCCGGAGGAAGCTGAAGACCGTCGCCGACATCCTTACCCAAGGAGGGGCTGGCAAGGGCACTGGCCATTGAGGACGCGGTGGGCGCTCGCGAAGTACACGAGCTTGACCAGTGGGATGGACTGGAGAACTACCAAGAAGAGTTTGCGACCTGTTATTGCACACATCGTGAGAACAGGCAGAAGCTGGCCCGTGCAGTAAGGACGGACACCACGGCCAAGACCTTCCCTACGAAGGTACCTCCAGCGACAGCCGTGACCGCTGCTGAGAGCAAGCAGGTGAATGAACGAGGCTTTCGGTTGGGCTCGTGCCCTTCAGAACCACTGACAAGCCGACCTTCTAAAGAACGAGACTCTCTACTCCGACGACTTGGTGGGCGCCACGCTGGACCGAGCGCGGAAGATCCTTGAGGCCAAGAAGCCATGCAAGTCATCCAACAGCGATTCGGTTGAGGCAGTCCAGGCCGCTTGTACCACGCCCTCACAGCTAAAGCCCGCCGTGTGGACACATTTTGTGATCAGTCCGCAGGACCGAATCCAGACACACTTTGACCAATATAGTCCGCGTGGTCGACCGTCTGTGCTTGCTTGTCGCAGGCGACCGACAGTGGAGCCAATGGCAACATCATGCCTTTGCAGCAGCCGGAATTTGAGCAGTATTGGTTTGGCCAAAGGTCTGCCTAGATCCTGACGGGCATTGCAGGGACGGTCTTCGCTGATCGATGATGACGGTGACGCCAACACATTTTTGCTGGTCAGGTTTCTCTCCTACGACCAGAACTTGATGGTGGTTGGCCGCTGGGATTGATTACCCGTGTGGACACTTATTTATGCAGGTTCCCATTTTCACAGTCTCAACTGCTGTCGACAGTGTTTGGGCCTCACGCCCCAAGGCAAGCAGATCACCGTCAACGATGGTGTCGCCAAGCTCAACCAGCAGAAGTTCACTCAGGCAGCTAAACCACTTCAGTTCCTAAAAGTGGCGGTCGGCAATTCCCAATGCTGAGCTCTTCCCCACCTCACTCTATATAATAAAGCCGAAATCTTCAGAAGATTGGGGCTTTCACTTCAAGGCCATCGACCTCGAGAAGGCCAAAATGGTCATGTTTGCCGACAGCAGCTGGGCTAGTTGACGCCTCAGAACTGAAATCCCAGGTGCGATACATGGATTTTGTTGAAGGCCATGACGTCGACTCTGCGCAGGCGACAACACCTGATTGCTGGACCGGCGCAGCCATCGAATCCAGACAGTGCCGGAGCACCCTGGCCTCAGAGACCGTGGCGATGGACGGGAGTTGACTCGGCGATTTACTGCTCTCGTTGGGCGGGGTCCTCGTCCAGGACTACCATTCTATATGCAAAGCGGATGACTTCTGCGTCTGGTCGGCCTGAAGGAAACGGCGGCAGAAATCGACCCAGAACAAGAGGAACCGATCGGCAACAAACTGATCACCTGACGAAGGTGAAGTCGTTGCACACTTCCAGCGCTCCGCTGCACTGGCTCACAAGGGCTCTTGAGCATGCAGAAACAGTGCGGCCGGGCATCGTAGCATTTCTTTTTCGGGACCGCATCGTTCCTTGGGTGACCGAGCGAACCAGACTTGAAGGGATCCATTGCAATTCCCCCGAATTGCAAGAATTTTTTTTATTTGTTTGTGTCCTTGTTGCAGACCCAACTGCAGTACAATGAAGAGATGAAGGAACTGCAGGCCTCAGTGTGCCGGTGGTTTTTTCCGCCGTGCATGTGTTTGCTGGACCAGGGTCATGGTGTGTTCCATGCATGTACAATCAGTTGAGGTTCAGTTTGACTCACGCATGAATGTATCGAGAATGCAGGTGTTGTGAAAGGTGCAAGAATACAGATGCAATTTCTTTGTAATGATGTCTGACCCTTCTGGAATTCGCATGGTTTTAAAGACAACTTAGATGATACTTGGAGGTTCACCAAAGTGCAGCTGCGCAACAGGCAAGTGGATACCTTTTCGAGATACTGATCAATTTGATGCCGCAAATGAAATCGAATTCTGAATCGCGAAGGTAGCGCATCAACGTGCTTACATTGCGCAGCAGGCAGTATCGCCCTCGACACTAGATCATTATCCCAACCCAGCATGTTTTCACTACTTTTCTCGATGTTCCAAGGTCCAAGCCAAGCAGCAAGCTGATGCCACCGCTAGACAGGCCCTTTAAGCCTTCAATCAAGTGTCCTGTCACATGGTCAAAATTGATCCGGGCTTGTTCAACGTTCTTGCTCATGCGACAATGCATTCAGTGTGGTACAATTAATGGTTTGGAACCAATTCCTTTTTTTCTGCACATTCAGTTTTCAAAGGAAAACCTGGAAGTACCACAGAGAATTCAACATTCCACAACTTGGGAATGCAACAGGTGCGAAGCGCGCATCCTGCGGAGCCTCCCGCAAGAGCGTGACCAACTGTGAATTAAAGTATACTTTCCCAAGGCTGACACCTTACGGATTATATACTTGTCCTTGTTTTACTGCACCAAAAGTCGATGGGTTGCTTTGAGTGATTCAGGCTTCAGGATTCTTCTGACTTCTTTCGCTTCCTTTGCTTTTGGAGATGGCTACTGTCTACTCTTCGCTCTATCCTGCTTGCACACTAGGTACCCCGCGCAAGGAACCTTTTCCATGTCTCTGCCGCGCAGAGCTCAGTGAGCTTATCGAGCTCAGCCAGCTCAGCTCAAGTCGAGGACTAACTTGCCTCTCTTTTGACAGAGTAAGAAGTTGCAGTGAGGAACAAACACGGGACATGACACGGTATATGAAAGGTACATATGTGCTAAGAGGATGTGGCGCATTGCTTACACGTGCTATGCAGGACAGCTGGCCGCCATCCTTCAAGTTCAATGAACTCAATGTACCCTAATTTGCACGTGTTGTTCCACGCTCTTGGCTGACACTATTCATTCCACCAGGAATCTATGGCCCAGCTTCCGTGTTGTGCTTCGCAAGGGTTTCTATCGATTCTGATAATTTGTGTCATGGCGATTCTGTGTGATCTGCGATGATCGGTGAGCACACCCGCAGCCACGGCCTGTATCAGGTGCAACTCTGCATTGCTTCCAGCCATGTCAATGTGATTGCAAATGACAAATGTTGCGTTCAACTACAGGGGGACTCCCACACCAATCACTCCATTGAGCAGAGGCTCAAAAGTGTGCTAATCTGGATTTGACTGGTGGCATATTTCCTGCACTTTGCATCCCAACCATGAGTGCATTTTAGTCATAAGTGCTTGCTGTTGCGGAGGACATTAAGGTAATCCAAAGCGCCAGCAAGAGGCAACATGGTTGAAGACGTCGCAATTTGCATCACCAAAATCCTTGTACGACAAAGGCCTGGCAGAAATTCACAAGGTATCGAGGATTTGTGCCACCATCTGAGGTAGAGCATGATACACCACGAAAGGGTTATGCCGTTATGCCACGAACAGCACTCAAGGGCCACCATGGCCATCATGGCCAGAGGACTGACCATGTCACCAGATTAGCATGAAAAAGAGGAGAAAAAAGCACGGGAGGGAAAGCAAACGATGGCTGGACACAATGACAACCGCATCCAATCTACAATCGTTTTCTCCAGCTTCACGAGTGACATCATCCCAAGCATTGGGCGTTTTGGCGGCAAGAAATCAGACATAATTCGCATAATTTGGTATTTTGCAAAGATGCTTTGGTGGCAGCGGCGACTGCTTTGTGTTTGATCGGTGGCAACGGCAAACCATTCGTCCACCTTTCAATGTGCGCTCTAGCAAAATGGACTATCATGAACACCATAAACAATCCTACCGAGGTGGATGGCGTATGCTAAATGTTATCCCGATGGCCACAGAACTTGAGTGACACTCGCAAGATTGATACCTTCAAGATTGGTGAAGGTGATGAAGGCTTGAGGTCTTGAAGCTGACCTTACTCAGATTCGCAACCTTCTAAAGTGAAGCTGCAGCTGCAGTCTGCCAGCTGTACACTTTTCCCTCAAAGAAATACATTGTTCATGGCCAACTTTTAAGGTGCTGACCAGGTGAGACTAGTGGACCGGAGTGCTCACAAGAATCCTACCATGTTTCGCCAAAAGGGCGCTGGAGAAATTGAGCTGTAAGCGCCGATAGGCCTGTCACATGGCCTAAGCTGTCGGTCAAATGTGACAGAAAAACAGTGTCTCCACCTGAGGTGTGGGACCGTTCCCGTTCCATGTTTTCCAGGCGTCCTTGTTCCTAGAAATGGAGCGAATACCAGAGTTAATTTTTCTTAACTCTGGTGTTAATTCTTTCTATTTAACTCTTGTATTCAGCCTCTTCCTTGTTCCTAGTAGCGATGCCCTTTGCTCCTAGTAGCTTCTTGTTCCTAGTAGCGATTCCAGGATCCCCTTGCTCCTAGTACCTGAGGTGTGGGACTGTTCCGGGCTTCGACCAAGTCGGAGACCAGGGAGAAAGTGATTTGTTTTTCTTTCGTTACTTTCGCTACTTGGTAATGCCTTTGTTACTAGTAGCGATGCCCTTGTTTTACTAGTAGTTTCAAGACATGTGTATGATTAATGTATATATAGTGTGTACTTTTTTAGATGTTTCTCTTGGACATAACAAAAGCACTATTGGCAAGATGCCATTGCTTGTCCCTTCTTGAAGCCTACTGCTACACGCACCTGAGGGTTTGTCACGCAGTCTGGCGTGATTGACATGGAGTTGTCGATTGAAGGTGTGGACAGCTGTGATGTAAGCTCAGCCAACCAGGCAACATGTTTTTGCTTATGCCAGAGTTGCTCACTTGTTAAGTGCTTGCAATCTTGCAGCTACACGGCTCCACTTTTTGCAGAGAATTACTCTGAACCCATCCAACCAACCCCTCTCGGTCAATTCGGGATCCCAAGTGAGATTGCTGTTGGGCCAAGTACTGCATCATTGTGTGCTTTGTTCTTCAGAATTGTCTTGCGCCAGGTGAACTCTACCTGTGGGTCTTTGTGCTTCACCACATGCTACTCCGCCAATGCAAAAGAAGGGCTGCGACAAACCGCCACCGTATGTTCTCACATGAATTATACAACATTCAACACTTGCAGAGCTTCTTCTGTTACATCCTTGTTGATTCTTTTTTAAAGACCTTCTTCTGATTCCTTTTCCTATCCTTGATTTTCCAGATAACTCTCCCGTGAACACACTTTAATGGTTCTATCTGAAGCTTGGCTCAAACCCTGTGGCAAGGGGAGAGCAGCTATGGCACAGTATAAAGGGACTATAAAGTCAGGAACCTAGCATCACTGCACATCTACGGAACCTAGGTTCCTGACGATCGCTCAAAAATGGTCTTTCGATGAACGATATCTTTTTCGCAAACACATTTGGCTTGTCTTGATGAAGTGCCTCGAGGTCATTCAACCTCGACAAGGGCTATGGGTTCATTGAGAACTCGGAGACCAAAGCCATCTATGGGAAGGACGGCTAGACGGCTAGAAGGCTAGAACTAGATCCACTAGATCTTTGCAACTCTATTACCTTTGTTCAAACGGCTTTTCTCCGTATTCAGGAAAGACATGTTTTAATTCCGATCCATCTAAATCCACTCTTGCAGGATGTGTTTGTCCTCAAGACTTCTCTTCAGGGACTTCAAGTACCAGTCAACGCAGGAGACGAGGCAATGCTCTGCACGCTAGATCACGTGAGATTTGGTCACTTTGACACTGAAAACATGTTATTTGCGCCTTGCTGGGGCAGGTGATGTTTCGCGTGATTGACAGTGTCAAAGGGCCTCAGGAGGGCCCTTGTTGCATTGCTTGGTGCAAGAGTGTCGTTGCTTTCCCTGGAACTCTTTTTCACCGCGTGTTCCGCTAGCCCAACTCCAAGGGTTCCCCCCAGAGTTCGCAAACAAGTGTTTATCTTTCAATCCGATTCAATCAGTCAGCTTGCAATAGCTCGAAAGAAGGCAATCTTTCAATCTTTCAGAGGAAGAGAGCGGTGAAGTGAAGTGGATGTGAAATGGGTGGGGGGTTTCAAGTTTAGCAGCTCCGCACGAGAACAAGGCCTGTTTGGTAGGGAACCGTATGTGTTTGGTCAGTCCCCAGTCGAAGTGCCACCCATGCATGGCAACGAGTTCTTCAATCTACTTGTATTGTGTAGCATAGTTCAGGAAGCACGCAGCAGAAAGGTGATGTGTGGACTGTGAAGATTCTAAGTTCCCAAACAATCTATGAACCAAATTATTAAGCCTGAGCCCTTTTCCTTCTGCGTCGAAGATACTCGTAGCTACTTACGCTACTACTGTTACTAGTTGCGCAAACTAGTAGCTGGTAGCTACTCTTACGGCCTACCCACCTGTGCCCCTGCTGTGGACCGATTCTGTTTGTAGGCTGAGAACATTGTCGTCCTCAAAAGTCTTACTGCGACCACCCTAGCTTGGAAGCACTCTTCCTTCTGTGCGTCACAACTCAACTCATGTGCACTTGTGAGGCCAACGGCATGGGTGCAGGTGGCATGGGTGGTGTGGGTGGCATGGGTGGTGCGTGCATGGGTGGCATGAACCAGGTGCCCCAGGCAGGCTTCGTGTCTCCTGGAGGCTTCGGGCCGAGTGGCTTCACGCCAGCTCCACCTGCATTTAGGCCACAAGGTCCACAGGGTCCACAGGCTCTACAGGCTCCAAGGCCGAGTCAACTGTCGGGTCAAAGCCCTTATAGTGGCCGGACTCCCAGACACGACGTGACATACTGACACACCCTGACATGACATCCTCATGCTCGTAGACACACGATCGCGATTCGGAGCTCAGGTCAGGCTTCATCTCAGTACGTGGGCATAGTGAAGTCTTTCAATACCCAGAAAGGAGCCCTACTCAGCGTGACCGAGCTTAGAGCATTGAGGTGGCTCCAAACCGTAGCAAGGATGGGGCTTCATCACGAGCGAGCAAATCCTACAGTCTTTTGGCAAGGTGGGCAGAACGCCAGCATAAACCAAAAGGATCGATTGTATAGGTGAGAGTGCAAAGACAGCAAGCTGCAGAAGTATGCAAATCTCAGCCCTCCAGGATTTGTTCTTCATGAAGTCTTCTCTTAGAGCACCTGTACAGGAAGGTCAGCCCCACTCCCAGAGCCAGGTGTTTCTCTTGTGAGTTCATGCAACTCTTAGATCTCTTAGGTAGCTTAGTAAACATTCACATTTTCTAGAGTCTGAAGCTTTTGCGCTGAGGCAAGTGACCTTCACCGTTGTGCATGAAGCAACTCGGGGTCCTCAGGCTTGTGGCTGAAAAGCTTACCAAAATTGCTGGGAGTTGTACTAAGTACTAGGTGACTGCCAGTTTGCAGAATGGTTCATTCCACAAATGCGCAGGCGCAGAACATCAGCTTGGCTGGTGGAATGCCTGTCACTGAGATCCGGCATGCCCCTGTGATCGACCATGCGGAAGCGTCACCGAGGGTGCCTCAAGCGGTTCCAACATCTGCGCTACTTGACACGCATGGCATCGATGAAACCGGTTGTCCCTTCCAAGACTGCGCCAACCAACTTCGGGGCAAGGCAAAAGATGTATATAAAGTTTGTTTCTTTTTATACAGCATGAAACCACATTCAACAATCGTTTTGCAAATAGGTGATTTGCTGTGGTTTTGGAGACCTTTGGAGTTTGAGGTATGGAGCACCCTTGCAAGTCGGGCCGGGCTTTGTGTTTCGGTCTTAGTTGCTCCCACACTTTCTCGGCAGCTTCGGACTGTGCTCAGGCAAAGCCCTATGCAGATGCAGTCCGAACAATACTTCTTTGGAGCTATTAAAGGCCTTGAGCTTGACGTAGTGATAAATTGTAATTTTGTGGTTGCTCAAGGAACACTGGTACCTTAATCTAGAGTGACTTTGGAGACCCAGTCGAAAGCACAGTCATGCATGAACCCTTTTGCACCGCTTGAAGATTTCCTATAGACCTGTATCGTTGCGCTGGTGTTGCTACCAGCTTCATGTGCAAAAAAACCCGAAGGACACGGCCAAATGTCCAGCAATAGGTTTCAGTTCGCTCAAGGTTTGCTTCCTTCCAGGAGGCCTTGAGCTCGACTCCCGATTGTGTCCCATCTTACTTCCATGGTGCAATTTCTTTGCCGTGCGCCGTGCGCATGCTTCCTTGCAGCAAAAGCACTAGTACCCTAAAATTGCCTGAGCCCAGTTTGGGCGACAGCAACATGTTCAGGCAGCTGCATTTTGTCAGACAGATTGATCACGTAGCAGACCGGTAACACATGGTTGGACGTGATTTTGATCGGCAGGATACAATCAAGAGAAAGGATGGGGACACATAACTTGCCAGGCGGGTGATCCACGTGCGATCGGTTGTGAATTGTGGATAGCACATGCGACACATGGTCCATATTCTGCTGTATATTGTGGATAGACCAGAAGACCCAGCAACAACATAGGTGCCAGACCGTGTCTTCAGTGCTGCTTTTGCGAGCTTGGTGCTTCAGGTGGCAAAGATCCTGTTTGGCAAGGAAGTCTTCGTGATGCGATCAGCCTTAGGCAGCTGGGGCCAGTATGTGTGCTACAGTACAGTGATGGCTTACAGTAGTTCAGAGCTCCGAGGTGATGCTGTAGTTGAAGCTGGCACTTTGGTGGGCTTCAAGGCATGTGAAAGACCTTGTAGTGAGGTTAGGTTGCTAATTTCATCCAGTTTCATGTTTGATCCACACCTGGATGTTGAACTTTGCTCACCTGGATTTCTTACGAGAAGCAGCTCGTGGCACCGGTCCAGGTGAAGCAAACTGATAGGGGCCCTCAGGCTTTGTGCAAAGTGTCAGCTTCAAAACCTACATGATGCAATTTCTATTATATATATCGATGGCCTCCAACCTACATGATGTAATTGCTTGGTGCAATTACAAGCGTTTACAAGCGAGGCCTATGAAGTGAAGGCCGTAATCTCAGAACCACGCCAGTGCAACTGCTTGCATGGGAGCTTGTGCAATCTGAATTGCGCAGGACAAAACTTGACATGCGTAGTTCTTAGGCGTATCCACCCCAAAGTTATGGCTTTGAAGGGCAGCTGAAACCTTAAATGCACTGCAGCAGCAGAGAGAGAGAGAGAGAGATGAAGCTTGCTTTGTTGGACAAGGTTCTTAAGGACCAGACTCTGGGTAGTCAGTTGAGGAACTCTTGTGCTGAATTTAGACTCGCTCGGTGCAAATGTTTCAAATGTTTCATCGAGGTTCTGAATTGCTGTAAGTTTTCCTGCTTCCATTGTTGGAGAAAGCGATTTTACAGCCGTTTCTGAATTGAAACAAGAAGCCAATGCTTGGCAAACTGGGAAACTTGAGGCCAGGGAAGCGCTACGCTGGTTCAGTCAAGTTGGCCCTCGGCAAGCTGAATTGTCTCTCTTTGACCGAGAAAGTCTTGGAAGATACTTTTGTTTTTTTTGTTCAGCTTTCTTCTTCAGAAAAATAACGCTATTCACAAACAAGCGTTGACTTGACCATGGGGCCACTCATGCAATCTGATCAAGCTCCTTCTTGGCTCAGAGCGAGGTAGCATCTTCATCCGCAGTTCACCAAATGAGATTATTAATCACACCATGGATAATCTATTTTTTGTGTCTCCAACTGCGTTTTCATTTCTCTCGATGTGGATGAGATCAGGAAGACTGTTCTTCCAGATACTTCCAGACAGACATAGGTACCGCACACAGTTGAGATGAACACTTTTGGCACATGTGTGACACCTAGACGAGACATGGCATGGCGTATTGGCCATATCGGGAAAAAGTGCATTGTCGTGAGGCAGCTTTCATGCATTGGAGTGCCCAAGCGGACCATCGCGAGTGAAGCCTATGGTAGACGCGCTGACCTGTACGAGGATGATGTGTTCATTCCGATTGATGAGCATCCGCTACGTGCCCTCCGCAAGCCCTCAAAAAGGTTGAACATTGTGGGGGCTGATGGCCTCCAACCTAAGAGCGATGGCCTCCAACCGAATAGTGTAACCCAAGAAGTCGATGACTCAACTGAGTCAGCAGATGTTCCCAGAAGCAAAGAGCAACGACCAGCAGAGCTAGTTGCTCCAGTTGCTCCTCTCGAGGCCAGTGGGCTCGTGCGGCCACCACCGCCTTTGTCCAGCCGACCGGAGCGTTCAAACGGCGGCAAACTGATCTCTAGCTCCTTGGCAGTCAAAGAGCAGCATATTGTATAATTATGATGCTCCATTTTCGAAAGCTCTTGGGTTTCTTTTTTGTTTTCTCTATCCCCTTTTGTTGTGCTCTTATTAATCTCTTGTTCCCTCGTTTGTGCACTGTTTTTTTTGGTTTCGCACGAGTTTGATCTGTCAGAGGTAGTCCGCAGTGTGGAGCGACATCCCTACCAGAGAACAAAGGCAGTCTGCGAAATTGTGAGAATCCAGGTCGGTCTGCGAAAGAGGCCATCCAAACTGAGTATTCCTTCTACCAGCAGCATCATGACACGACTGTAGAGTCTCCTGGCCCAGTACCAACACCAGTTCAAAGCTTTGAGGATTCAGGATTCCCAGAGATTGTGCAAGAATACCTGATGAGCACAGGATTCACTTGCCCAACCCCTATTCAGTCTGTTGCGTGGCCAATTGCCCTTGGTGGCTTTGACATGGTTGGACTGGCAGAAACTGGCAGTGGAAAGACACTTGCGTATCTTCTGCCCGGTATGTTGCACGTGAAGGCCCAAGGGTCAGAAAACGGAGGGCCCATTGCACTGGTATTGGCTCCAACTCGAGAGCTTGTGATGCAGATCCAATGGGAAGCCTTCCGTTTGGGTGAATTGCTTGGTATCCGAGATGCCGTTGTGTACGGTGGAGTTTCGAGGCGTGGCCAGCAACAGGAACTGCGTCGAGGAGTTGAACTTCTCATCGCAACACCAGGCCGTTTGCTTGACTTCTTGGATTCAAAGGTTACAAGCCTACAGAGAGTGAGCTATTTGGTGATTGATGAAGCAGATCGCATGTTGGATATGGGGTTTGAACCTCAACTGAGGCGGGTGAGCTCCCAGTTGCGCAAGGAAAGGCAAACCCTGATGTGGTCAGCAACATGGCCCACATCCATTCAGCACCTAGCCAAGGATTTTTGCAAGGAGAGCTTCGTGAAGGTTTCAGTTGGCATTTCAGGGGCTAGAGCAAATCCCAATGTTCGGCAAGATGTCCGAGTTGTCACAGAGTTGGATAAGAAGCAATGCTTCTTTGATTGGCTCCAAGAGGTTTGCAAAGACTCCCTGAACCAGCCACGCATCTTGGTGTTTACAGATACCAAGAAAGGTGCTGATGCACTGTGTCGAGAGCTCCGCTATGAACAGTTTGCAGCTAATTCGATCCACGGTGACAAGGACCAGCAAGAGCGTGATTTGATTCTGCAGAACTTTAAGCGAGGCAAATGTCAGATTCTCGTAGCAACAGATGTAGCACAACGGGGCCTGGACATAAAGGATGTGGCATACGTGGTGAATTACAACATGCCAAACACAGTCGAAGACTACATTCATCGAATTGGCCGTACTGGCAGAGCTGGTGCTCATGGAGTCGCGGTGTCCTTTTTGACCTGCGACTTTCGGGCAAGTGAGAATGTTCGCATGGCACGTGGCTTGGTGAAGGTTATGCAGGATGCTGGACAAGAACCCGCAGAAGATCTTCGCCGCTTTGCGCAGACGCAATGACGAGCAAAATCAAGCCCTTGCATGCTTGAAGTGGACACTCGGGAAGGGGTGCTTGCCGGTCGAATTGAAAGAACGTAACGCCTGACTCAAGTTTTGCGTTCGATCACCAAATACTGTAGATTTGTCAAACCCGTTCATTTCCAGAGTTGGTCAAAGAGTCGCCTGTGAAATCTAAGGTTGTTCAAGGAAGATAAAAAGTGGGGCTTTGTCACGAGCGACGAGATCAAGAGCTTGTTTGATGGCAAGGCCTCTTGTGCTTTTGGCGCTTTCGGATTTTCAAGCATCTTAGAATCTTAGTAGTCTTAGTCATAAACAATGACTCGTATACTGAATCACTCCGGTTGTCCATCTTCTTGTCAGGATATTTTCCTGCACATGCAAGCGCTGAATGATGGCAGTCAAAACACTCAGAATTGACCACTATAATATTGAACAACATGGAGAAGTTCCAGGAGTGTAAGTCTGGTGACGGAGGTGTTCTTCCAACTGCTGGAGATGAAGCCCACTTTTCCATCGAAATCGGGGAGAATGGCAAGCTCCAGGTTGGTTTTTGAGTGAAATTTGTAGCATGAACATAACTTATAACACTTTCCGCAAAACGGATTGTCTTTTTACAGTGATTTAGCATGACAGGCACACGAAGTGGATCTTATACCGCAGCAGGCCCATGTTACTTTTTAGCTGGGTGTTTGAGCTATGAACTTGATCAGCCCACTGGTCTTGATTGGTCTTTGAAGGTTGGGTTTCAACCAGCTCGATGCTGAGCGAAGCAGATCAAAGCCTTTCAAACGCCCTTCAGACACTTCAGACTGCCAATTCCCGAAGTGTGAGTAGGGATGGCCTCCAACCCAAGAGCGATGGCCTCCACCCTACTAGTGACGGCCTCCACCCTAGTACTGAATGCTTGTTTCATTTCAAAAGCCCAAGGTTCGCCATCCGGTGCCTTCAAGAGCGGGTCCATACTAGCGAGGAAAAAGATTTGGCATCGCTTGAGTTGATACAGGTTAGGGAATGTTGAACAGAACAGTGTGACCTCTTTTGAGCAATACAACTTGCCTAATAGTCGTCAAAGTTGCTGGCAATACTCGCTCAGTAGGAGTTGAAGATATCCTGGGAAGCCTTTCTGGGATTCCCACTGTTTCCATGCTGCCTTTAGCTTGGATATGCAGATTCTGTTTTGGTTCGAAGAAGGGCAGCCACGCCCAACCGCGAAGTGTTCCCCTGTGAGGCTGACGCATACTTAGTCACTCAGTGGGCGTATTGAACGCTTGCAGCACTTGGGATGCTGTTGGTTTGTTCAAGATCAGACGCGCTATGCCGTCGCACAACTTTCAGTTAGAGCTTGTATTTTCAGGACAGCTGCCATGCCGGCATCCCGGGGCCATAGCCATTGTGACTTTGAACTTTCTGAAGGTAACTAGCTTCACTCCTATGCCGTTGCTTGCATGTCAGCGCTGCGCATATTTCTCAGGTCACTTACCATGACGCCAGGGAGTAGCTTCCGCGTTTGGCAGCCTGACTGCTGCCTTGCCATCTCAACTTTCAAAGCAAATTGGGAGGTTGCAGATTTTTTGTGCGGCGGAACTGTTTTGTTCTTGAGGGGCAGACGCTCGCGGCCACTGTCCCTGCAAGCCTGGGGTCCATGCAGGCATTTTTGGACGACAGTTTCCGACAGATGACTAGTAACAAAGTGCAACGCTACTAACTTGTAACAAATGAATCGCTATTAGTAGCTAAACAATTTACTAATGACTACATTTTTGGACGACATTCTTTTTCCCCAAACAGTTTACTGTTAGGGATTCTCAATGCTTTCAAGAATGGTCGCCTTGGTGCTGGATGGTCTGGTCGGGTTCCCGGCTGGCTTGTCTCCAACTTGCTTTCATTTGTCTCCCAGTTCTTTTTCATTTGTCTCCCATTTCTTTTCATTTGTCTCCCAGGCTGTTGCTTGTGGTCGGGTTCCCGGCTGGCTTGCCCAAGTTTTTCATTTGTCTCCCAGGCTGGGTGCTTGTGGTCGGGTT